ACTAAGCCTGGCATTCAAGTAGCTGGTGCTACTGAAGATGCTGATTTTTAATTTTGTTTTTTTAAATGAGATGAGAAAATAAAACTCCTAATAAAGTGTAGTGATTACAGAATTTGTGGCTCTTTTTCTAGGAGCAAGCTGATTAAGACAGGTGTCTGAGGCAGTTTTGAAGCTGGTAAGTTACCTTTTGCTTACCAAGTGCTTGAGTTTTTCAGACCATCTGTTGACACCTGACTTTTGGCATCATTCACTTGGAAGCAGTGGCACAGGCAGCAGAGTGAAATAACCACAGCTCCACAGTGCCCTGCTGTTTGGTCACAGTAGATAAGGATATGTGTGTCCCATCCATGTTTCTGCTGGTGTCCTGAAGGAGAGCATGCTGATGGTGCATGGAGCGTGGTACAGCTCTGCCATAGCCCATCTGTGTGTGCACCAGTCAGGTGAGACCTGGAAACACCCACAGCTCCTGTCAGATTTACAACCACAGAGATTTCTTTTTTTTCCCTTTGAAGGAATCAATCCCTAGGGTTAATTCTTGATTAGCTCAATGCTTTCTTTTTATCACCTTATGCATGAATGGAGAGTGAAGCTGATATGCTTCCACACCATCCCTTTTATGTTTAATGCTGTGTATGTGGAAAGTGCAAGAGTGGATGTTTGCAGATGCTGACCTCTTGCCAGGTGAGATGCTCACAGTGGTTTGATGCAGGCTGGTGAGGAGTCACATTGCTGAGCCACTTGTGGCTTCATGGGAGAGTGGCACAGCAGGAATAGATGAAGCAGAGTTGTGTGCATTCTGCACTTAGGGTTTGCACAAATGGATGTTAGGAATAAACTGAAGAAGTGTCATCCTCTGTCTGTGGTCTGCAGAGAGTCATGCAGCTTCTCTGAGTCTCTGTGTCTCTTTTGATGGATAATGCACTTACCTCCTAGGCCTGGAAGGGTTTGAAAATGTGTAATAGCAATCATTGCTTTTGTACAGCTGTGCACTACCAGCTTTCCTGGATGCAGCTTTTCTGCACATGCAGTCAGGTGTTCCAAGCAGAACATCTCACTGTCTGCACTGGGCCATCCAGAGCTCACTGTCACAGGGATTGCTGCCTTTGGTAGGAAGGAGATCTTTACTCCATGGAGCTCTTGGATCTAGCTGGTGGAGAGGTGACACTTCTTTCATTCTCAAAAAAAAAAAAAAACCAGTTAGAGGAAGGAATTAAACCCAATTGATTGCCTTTCCATCAAACAGGCAAGCACGTATAAACACCTTCAGAAACATTCTGAGGTAGAACAGAATGGAATTTGCTTGGATTTGTTTGCCCAGCTGCTGTCTTCCCTGAGGTGCAGCTCAGTCCAGCCAGGAGAAATGCTGTCCTCACAGCTCTGCTTTCCAGTGCCTCAGCCCTTGGAGGTGCCAGGCAATGTGAACATCAGTCCTGTCAGCACAGTGCAGACTTCATGGATCTGGCACCTCAGACCATGCCTCCTCCAGGGGAAGAGTAAGGAATTCACTTATGCAAGCCCACAGTTATGGCAGTAATGCTGAAGTGACCTGTGCACCTCCTGCACTCACGCTTAGAGGGCTCTGCCTTGTAGGAGACTTGTGCTTTAGTGGTAGGCAGCAAATACTTATTTATGGCTTAGGAATATGTCTTACATGTAAAATGGAAAGACCTCTTCAGTTGTAAATTCTAGAGTTTCTTCCTTTTCCCCCACATTGCTAAGGAAGCAATTTTTGAGATTTATTGTTGTATTGATGATGTTTGACCTTGGAGTGATTCTTTGATATTCTGTTTGAGACAGTGGGACACTTTTTTTGCCTTGCCCTTGGGAGAAATAGTTTTCTCTAGTTCTTTGATAAGTCTGTGAAAAGAAAGTTAGAAACTTTTTAAAATCAGTTTTGGTTTGGTTTGTTGTTTTATTGGTGAGTTTTTTTTGTTACAGTATAATGAAGGCCTAATTGTAATGAGTTAGATGTGGGTTTCAAAACTCCTCCCTCCCACCAAGCTATTTACTATAACAAATGCTATTTTGATTTGAAGTTGGTTTGTTTTTGACAAGAGAAATCATTCTGAAGTTAATTCAAACGTGTTGGTTGATTCCCCCCCCACCACCAGAGACTACAGTGACAGAAAGAACCAGCTTTGTATTTCCAAAAGAAAGCACTGCCTTTAAGAGGAAAGGAATTGTCTCTCTGAATGCAGTGATCTATAATTTCTAGCCCTAACTATTTTATTTTAAGGAGAAAGGAAGACAAACAGAATTGCCTATTACTCTTTAAAAGCTTTTACTCCTGCTCTGGGCACCTGGAAGATGCTGATTCTGACACTCTTATCTCGGCTATCTCAAGTGGGATCATATGACCAAAGTAGCTAAACCGAAGAAATGGTCCTAATATTTCTTTTATTTCTTTGCCAGGAAAATGTAAGAGGTTATGTATAGGTTGGATTTGTTTTATTTAGAAAAACACATGAAGGGGATTTCCCATGGCTTGTGTTGCATGGGATGTGCTGCTGCCCTCTGCTCCTGCAGCCCCACCAGTGGCTCACAGGCACAACCACAGATAGCACAGAACCAGCTGAGGCCTGGCCTTTGAGCACCAGCTCTTCCCAAAAACCTCTGCCTTAATGGAATGCTTTAAAAAGAGCACTGCCAGGTGTTTTTTGTTTCAGAAATAAGGAGCACCATGGAGGTATCTGCTGCTCCATGAGGCTGGTTTGTGTGTGCTGGCTTCCAGTCTCTGAGTCTGCTCAAGGGACTGAGCTGGCAGCCCTCAATGGCATTAGCATGGAGTTGTGACTTGTTCTGGGGAGAAAAAGGGCATGCAGAACCATTTGATCCTTCAGCTGAGCTAATTCCCACATTTTCCTCTTTGCTGTTTGATGTACGAGTTTTATTTGTCTTTCTCTAGCATTCAGTTTCCTTTGCTTATCTGCAGTGCTGCAGCCTTGAATAACACCATGCCCTTCCTAGAGATGTCTAACTAGAGACTGTTTTCCCAATTATTGATTTAATGATCAACAACTGGAGAAATATTTGATAGCTGGTTTATTTGAAAGCAAACAAACCAGCTATTTGTATGTTGGGGGCTGAGAAGGTTGTATTTGGCCCAACATACCTTGCTGTGCCTCCTGGTCCTCCAGTGTCAAACCCCTGGGGTAGAGTGGTAGCAGAAGATGGGCACCATGATCAGGTCAGAGACACAAGGTGGGAAGGGGGAGCCACATGTCAGGAGAAAAATGGAGTATATTTCCAGATCTAGGTGGGGAGGGAAGTTGAAGTTGAGCTAGAACTGGTAATTTTGATTCAGAATTGAGAAGAAATTTTTAATACTTTTTTTTTCCCCCCAACTCAGTTTTCTGCTGTAATTACCAGGCACCTCTGCTCGTCATCTTTATGGATTGATGTCTCCTTCAGCTCTGAGAATAACGTTCCTTGGATGCTGTTGTGACTGCATGTAGGCACTAGTAACTGTGAATCCAGGATACTGAAAAAGTGGATAATAGGAGTACTATAGATAACTGTGGTGCTATTTACAACACCACAGTTTTAATTTTAACACTTTATATTGATAAAGAAGTCTGGAGATGTGAATTCTACTCCTCTCTCTGCCTCATGATTCCTCTTTGAGCCAGGGGAAATCCGTGCACTTTTTTGTGATCCTGTGGTTCAGCTCCTCCAAAGCTACATCAGAGCCTCCTGACTTGTACCCTTGCTTTGGGTACCCACAGAAAAGACCTGTTGTCTTTGCCATAGAATAGGATGAATACATTTTAGTAGTAGGACTCCTGAATTTCAGCCACTCTCTAGACCAGAGGTAACTGCTGCTGCAGTGTGTGCAAAAGCAAGACAGTTTGTACTGCTTGGCCCCTCATCATTGACTGGACTCCATTTCTCTACTCTAAAATCTTGTTCAACATTTCTAAATGTAGCTCCCTCTGGTAAAGAGAAGTCAATTTGCTCTCCAAAATTAAGAAATTACCCACAACAATTAGAAAGTGCTGCAACCATTAAGTGATTCTGGTTGCATCTGTTTCTGGGCATGACAAAGCTTCTCTGGGTGTCTGCAGACAGTGAGAAGCAGCATCTGAGCCAGGAGAGCACAGATGTCTGCCTGGGTGACTGAACAGGCCTGAAGCTACACTTCTATCCTGGTGTCATTCTTTGAGAGGCAAGAGCTGATTTACCCCCTTGGGGTGGAGCTAAACCTGACACTCAGCTTGCCAAGGAGGCTTGGGTCTCTCCATGGCAGGAGCAGTGGCCACTGCATCCCTGGGCTGGCCCCATGGATCACACTTGGTTTGAATTGCATGTGGTAATTCCATTCCTCCTTAAAGAGTCAGCTAACATTAAAGTGAGTACAAGTGGAGGGCATTAACTGAGCTCAAGTGAAAAACATTAATTTTAGCATACAGCATGTCTCAAATTTCTGACTCTGTATGACTGTGGAGACCTTGTGTGCGAAAGTATCATTTCAAGTGTAGATATTTTCCTTGAAAGAGATAAAATGACTGCATTAATGTGTCACTTAAGGCTAGTTTTCTTTACACAAAATGTGACTGATTGAACAGCTTTTTCTCTGGTATAAACATTTAGGATTGAACACAGCAGTCTGTGTGTATGGGATATGCATTTGTGTATTTACACAGAGTCACACTGTCGTAGACATGCTAATGTATACATTCACACTGCTCTGTGCTTACATATTACCAATAGGAGTTGTATCTTAGGTGATAGCTGTGCCATGCATATAGTAGAGCTGACCTTGGGAAAGATACCAAGGGTAATAATAGACACAGTGGGTAGTATTTGTGCACTTTCTGGGCATATTAGATGCACCAGGAGTGCACAAATATCAAAGATTAGTGTCCTGTAAAAATTTCTCTTAAATGCAAAAACATGCCAAATGTTAATCAAAGTTGCTTTTTTAATGACCCTCAAAAAAGTTAGAGGTGAATCAAGTTGGATTTTTTTAGTTGATATTGTTTAATTTTGTATTATTGCAGAAACTGGAACACAAAGAAGTTTTGGTTGGCTTGTTGTTCCTGGTTTTCCCATTCATCCCAGCCAGCAACCTCTTCTTCAGGGTGGGATTTGTGGTGGCAGAGCGAGTCCTTTACATGCCGAGGTAACTATTGCAATTGAATTTTTTTTGCTAATGAGACCACCATCTCATTTTCTGAAAGCAGGCATGATTGCTTCTTCCCTTTTAAGTACTTCAAACATTATATTGCGAGCCAGTGTGTTCTCTGCCTGGGAGTTTTGGTGTTACAGCATGAGAGATTTTATAGTCAGCTGAGAGCAGATTGCTTGGCAGGAGCAAAGCTACTCAAAATCCTTGCTTTTCTTTTTAAACACAGGGTTTTTTTAGTGTGTGTGCTTGACACAGCTTAATACAGAGATGAGGTGTTGTTTCTTGAGGGTTGTCCTCCAAGACTCTTTTTCTGGGTAGCATTATCAAATTAAATTCCTTAATGATTTTATCTTAAAGACAGCAGCTGGGAAGTTAGCCTGTCATGCTTTTATTGGGTTCTTGTTCAGCTTTCCCACTCCATTAGGTGGTCAGTAAACACAAGGGAGACTTCTGCTGTCTCAAAAGGCTCCTGGATTCATTGTGGGATATGTACATGGGCTCCTGCCTGTAAGCTACTGATTGCATGCACATCTGAGAGTGGAGATTTGCACTTGCTGAACAGGAGGAGGAAAATTCAGCCACTTCTCCATCCCTCAGCCAGTGCTCTGAATTTCCCCTCAGCTTCCAGCCTCTAACAATTCTCACTTCAGCTGTCTGGGTTCTTCCAATTGTGTTTATGCAGGGACAGCTTTGAGGTGTCCCTTGTGACATCTCCACAGTGCCCACACCGGAGGCTGCAGTGGCACTCAGAGTCCATTCATCCAAGATGCACCAGACCATTGCCCATTTGACAGAAACACAGGCTGGCTGAGGCTGGAAGGGACCTTGGGAGGTCATCTGGTCCCAGTCCCCTGGGCAAGCAGAGCCAGTTGTCCGGGACCAGGTGCAAATAGCTTTGAGTCCAAAGAGGGAGATTCCACAGCAGCTCTGGAAAACTTGTGCCAGTGTAGTTTGTTCCATAAGTAAATGCTGTGTCTTGGATGCTGCAAGTTAGAAATCCCAATTCTACCCTTGGTGCAGGGGGCCAGCCTCTGTTATATCACATGGGAACTGCCACTGCAGAGCTGATGACAAAACAGAAGTCCTCAGTTTCACCCTGGGTTACTTTGTGACAACTGAAACAGAAGTTTTATTCCACAAAACATTTAAATTATGTTCCTCAGGAATTGTGCATCCAAACATCCTAAGAAAAATGCTTACAGACAGTCTTTTGAAAAGCTGTACATTTTTTGATTGCCATTGGTGTAAGCACTGTCACAAAAAAGCTGCTCATTGGTGTAAGCCTCAGGCTGTGGAGGAGCTATTGCACGTGTTACAAGGCTCTTATACAGTTAGGCTGTATCCCTGTGCCTCTGTACACAGACATGCTTTTTAGGTTGAATTCTGCTGACTTTGTTCACATCACTAGCCCTGCCTTTGTTAGCTGAGGGTACACCTGAAAGTATAGTGAGTGAAAGTTGTGTCTCAGAGTTATTTTGCAAATGGTACCCTCAGCTAATGGATCCTGCATCATTTCAAATTAACTTGGAAATCAGATTGCTTTAAATTCATGTAACAGAAAATGAGGAAACACATGAAAGAGCAAAGCTATTAAGGAAACAGTCAGCTGAACACAGGGCTGTGTTGAGTGGTTGCATTTCTGAATCTCAAAAGAACAACTGCGGAAAATACTTCAGCTGTCAGCAGTTCCTCGTCCTCCTCCAGATGAGACTGCTGATATAATGAGAGGAGGGGCAATGAAGAAGAAAAAAGGGTATGTTTGCACAGAGAAAATTAATCAGCGTTACCATGTGTGCATATAGTTTGTATAATGCTTTTCATCTCCCTGAGGGCTTTGCAAATCTATGACCTACAAAGTAGGTGATTGATAGTTGCTACTTTTTCTTTTTTTTTTTTTTTTTTTCAATTAGAAAGACTGAAAGACTGAGGTAGAAGAATTAAATCTGGAGTAAGTCCATGTCAGAGTCCCTGGATCTCATATTTGGCTCAGATCGCTCCTGTCCTGCTTTGCAACATTTGGTTTTTGCTCTCAGCCCAGGCTGGCAGGTAGCTGGCATGAAAAGGGAAGGCAGACCCTGGCAGTGCATGGCAAAGGTGGGGACTTCCTTGCCAAATGATCTGGAGAGAGCTGAGCATCTCTGGCATCCTCCAGGTCCAAAATTGCAGGGATGATGAGGGGAACTTCTGCTAACATTCATGGCTATGGCAACACAACAATGTGATTCTGTTTTGTTTTGCTTTTTCTCTCAGGAGGATGGCAATTTAGTAAGGATGGCTAAGGAAGTGCTCATGTTCTTTATTTAGAACAGCCTGTAGCAGTTTTCTCAAGTTACATCTTGAAAAGGGGTTTTCCTATCCTTTGCCCTTCAGTCTCTAAAACTCAGCAACTCAGAGGTTGCCATGCAGTTTTATTTAGATAAAAGTCCTCAAAGAGATTCAGGGGGTTTGATGATCTATGTTTTTGGGCTTATGCTGGAAGGCACTTTCCTCTCTCTGTTTCAAGCCTTTTATTGATACTTATGGATGTGGCACTTGCATTTTTACGGATGGGACAGTGGCGTATGTGTGTCACAGCCTGCAGTCCTAATTCAGCGGTGCTCAGTAGGTACCTGGGGAAAATGTCAAGCATTTTCTTTTCAATAAAAGTTAAGTAAGGACCTAAGGATTTATGTAAAAGATATTATAAATAGAAAGAAGAAAGAAATAAGCCTTTTGCTCAATGTCTAATTATATGGCTGGGCCTTGCCTTCTGGGGATTGATGGGTATTTGGAACAATTCCTCTTCTGTCTGCAGCCCTGCCTCAGGGGAGAAGCACACAAACTATGTCAGAATGGTTGGATGTTTTCTTTAATTGTGTTCAGCTAAACAGAAATACTTGGAGAAGATATTTCTTGTATTTATTTTTCATTTGAAGGTTACAAGTGTACTCGTTTAAATTAGGAATTACTCATTTAAATTAGGAATTTTTAATAATAGTATTACTTTAGGTGAAAAACTCAATTGGGAAACAATTTATTGTCTTTTAATTTGGCTTTTTTGTTTGTTTGTTTGTTTTTTCTTGTAGAAGATGGGAAAACTTGTTTTCAGGAGGTCAGAAGGTGTGAAATACCTAGGGAGTGATGAACAAGATACAGCTCTCTAGACCAGTTTTACAGAGTGGCATCACTTAAAAAGCTGAGTCAGTGAAAGACTTAAATTACATTTTTTTTCCTTCTTCAAAATGTCAATGCAAATGCTGCTCAGAACCCCACAGACAGTATAATTGTATGGAACTGCAGAATGACTGAGGGCAGGCAGTTGTTCTGAGTCCTGAGCAATTTGTAGTCAGGCAGGAGCAGCAGCTCTTCCCCTGTGTATAGTGTGCAGAAACAGGAGCAGCAATGCAAACTCTTGGCCTATCTGGGAGCTGCCTGCTCTACTGACATTCCCACAGAGCTGGGCTTGCTCTTACCTCATGGGATCAGACCTCTCCTACCAGAGCAATTTCTGTGTTTGCCTCGTCTTTCACTGCTACCCTGATAGCTGTGGCTTCTGGCTGAGCTGTTGTGTCATAGCTGGACAACTTGAGCTGTTTTCAGAGCCTCATATGAACCAACAAATCACCCAAAACATCCCTGCATGGGTTATTTCCAATTTGCTGAAAGCAATAGGCAATCCAGTGATACCTGCCCCATTTTGATGGCCGCTTGTTCGTGGTGGATATTGCAGTGAGTGGGTTGCAGGGTGCACAGTTACTCTTTCCCAGCACAGGCAATTACAGGTTGCTGTCAGGTTTTTTTGCCAGCTCCTCACTATATCAAGAGTTGATGTTGCAACCCTAATTGACAATACTGGGAGATGAGATCACTGCTGTATACAGGATGGCATTTGCTTCACCATCTATCTTAAAAATCTGCAAGAAAGCCATCATCCAGGAAAAAACACACTTGTGTTTTTCAAGAAATTAACACATCATGGTAAAGTTTTCCTCGTGCTGTAGCAACGCAGAGACCATATAAATTTTTGCCTCTGCATAGAGCATGTTTTTAATCCTTTGTGCAAATGCATTTTTTCCAGCTGGTGTAATCCCAAACATTAGTAACTTATGTAATTGGAGGGGGAAAAAAAAGGTAACCTGGTACATGGTGGAATCATCTATAACTTTTATGAACCTGATAATTTCTGAGCAGAAGTGCCCAGTGCTTACAAGGTAGCCATTTGGGGATGGGACTTACTGGTGCTTCTCTCCTGGGAGCATGTCATGTACTCCACATTAGTTTCATTTTCCTAAAGACCAGTTGTGCAATGGGGTTTCAGTTTCCTGTGCCACTCCTTTCTTTATTGTCATTTGAAGCTACAAGTTCACCAGGAGCTGAATTTCTGTTTGCCTTTCCAAATTCTTTCAGTATTAGATCAGATCCTGTGAGGGATCATCTGATTTACAGAAGAAGCTTCTCTTTTTATTTGGAGTCAGACACTGACCCAGCGAAGTCAGCAGTGAAAGTCCCATTGGCTCCGTGGAGCCAGTTTATCTTCTCCCTGATCTCAATTCAATGACACAATTAAGCATTTTGCCAGTTTTCACGTTAAGTCCACAAGTCATTTGGGATTTGTATATGGAATCCAAATTACACCCGTTCCATTTACTGGAAACAGACATGATTTCACTGCCTGCTCTGTTGCTGCCATTCTTCCGGGGGTCACGGGGCAGCCAAAGTTCAAAAGAAGTGAAGTGGATTATATTCCCTGTAATTCAGGTGCAGACCTGAGGGCACTGGGAGTGAAATGGGATGCCATTATGTGATGACAGTAGGCCAGAGTGCAGCCCCAGCTGAGTTTCCAGTGAGGGATGCCTCTGTCCCCCTGCAGGGTACCAATTTGAGCATCACTCTGCAACAATGGCTCGTGGCTGGAGGCGAGGTGCTTGGGACTTCAGCTGGGGCAAGTGACCCAGTGCTGCTTCCCCATCTGTGAAACAGGGATGATAACTCCACTCTGCCCTTGAAAAGGGGGC